ATGTGAGCGTTTGAATACGGTGTAAAAAATCAAAAACAATATATAATGCAATATAAAATTCAAATGTGTAATGCGTATCACAATACGTTTGAATTTTAATATTAATTCTTCATGTTACATGTGAACATTATCATCTTAATTAATTAATATTAAGTTAGTTCATCTTCAGTCAGCCGATAAAATATAAAAATTATTTAACACATAAATATCAAACATCGAAAAGTTCAGATTAAAAAAAACGTCCAAAACTATATTCTTTATCTATTCAACAAACGCTTCGCAACTAATTATGAGTATAAATATAAGCAGAGTTCGTTTTGTGTTTTGTTTTTGTTGATCAAAGGTCTGTTTTTGTTTTTAATTTGCAATAATAAAAAAAAATGTAATAACCGATGTTTTCGTTGCCGAAGAATCTTATCTATATCCTCACTTGTGCTTTAATGACATAAGAGAATGAAAAAGCGCGCTAACCAACGTTCGAAGAAGCGTGGGTTAACAAGCGTTCGAGAGCGCATTCTTTGTTTGAACGTTGAACTTGGGTAAAAAAGGTAAAAGTTTTTCTTTAGTCTTGCGTTTGTAAGTCTCGTCCGCGCGCTGATACTGTCCGCGCGTGCTTTTCCTTCGGTATCAGTTAAGTCTGAAGCTACCCGTCGGAATGGATTGCCGTGCGCGTCTTTTTCCTTGGAATCTAATTGTGTTTTTCGAAGTAGCAAGAGTTGGTAGCTTGGGCACTTTGCGTGTGCTCTTCTTTAGTGTCCATTGTACCTCAGTACCAAAAGAAAACCAGGCCGGGACACACCGAGTGAACATCTTGTGTTTCTCTCCCTTGGTAGTTCAAGTACTCGGTGCGGACGTGTGTCTTCCCCTTACATCAGGGACGAGACATCTTGTGCGCGCGTTCTGTATTTTTCAAAAAACAGTAGCCTTGAGGGCTATAAGTAATTGAAGTAAACAAAGTAATTGAAAGTTTTCGAATTTGTTTGTTTTTTCCGCGATTTAGTCGGTTAATTGAACTATTTTTTATACGTAAGATTGTTAACAAGTAGCAGTTTCTACTCTGTCGTTCTTTGCAAATATCTCTTTCTCTTACATAAAACAATGTAAAATTTCCCATCAATACGTTGTTTTAATTGTATAAAGTATTATTTAGTTTTTATTTGATTTTTATTCATACACTCACATTGAATTAACGTTAAGAAGGTCATCTCTTATAGCAATATCTTAAATATTAAAGCTTCATATTATATTAATTTTAATATCAGACGCGAACGCATAATATAAACCTAATGTAATTTAATGTCGACACACACACACAGCCATTATATTTAACACGAAATTAATATATTCAAGAGATTTTAATCATTATCGTTCGCAATTTTGCTCGCATTATCGTTCTTGCTGCGTTCACGCAGCTTAGCGATTCGCTCGCTCGGAGAGCGCGAAACACGTCGCTTTCGGGTCATCGTGTGTGTACACACACAAAAGATACATATCTTATCTGGCAGATTGTAAATTGCGCGCGGAGCGAGTCGCGAATATTCATGCAGCGTCGCCGTGCGATTTGCATTCATCGTGTCCCATTCGCCGCCCTCGCGAATTATTAACGCGAAGTCTCCTCGGCATCCGCCGATCGATAAGCGAATTCTCTCTCTTCTCGGCGCTTACACATCTCAAGAATTCTCTCCACTCAGCTCCTTTCTCTCTTCTCTCTCCGTTTCCTTCAAGTTCCATGAAGAATCGAGACGCGAAGGGAGACCTGTCTCTCTCGAGAGACAATAATTTTATCGTTCTCGAGAAATAGAGAGTCGCGCGCTAATCCAAAAATTTTACGACACGTTCATTTCTCTCGCCGCGGTCATTATTACCGTTTCATATAAATAGCCATTGCAAAAGCCCGATTGCAAAATTTCAATTCTGTTTATTCGATCGCTAAATGTAACCCATTTAACACTGTAGCATAATTCCGTGCACACGCGAGCGAATACGCGTGCAACTATTCGTGTGTTCAAACTTGATGTTTGAAATATTTGGAATCATAGTAAAATTATTTGGAACGTTTGAAACATTCTCTCTCATCGGGAATTCACGGAAGTAATTAAAATTGATAGATTCGTCGAACAATCTGTTAAATGATTTATTTCAGTGTGATTGAATTCAACCGTGTCAAATTTAAATTATTTCAGTCTATTTAATATCGCGTCCCATTCTACACGGGCTAATTTTGTTCCGTTTAGATTAAAACATCATATATATATATATATATATAATGCATGTGATCACATTTAAAGTTTGTAATCACGCACGCTTTATACGATAATTAACTCGAAAACGACAGCAATTATTCTAATATCGAAAATCAACCCTATTAATCTTGTTTTCTTGAAGACGTCACTTAATTTCTCGTCGCATGAAAGTTTTGCGAACAAAACTTCAGCACACTCGTGAAGATTAAAATAAACGTTCGTTGAGAGATTATTCAAAGTCTCTTCAAATAAAACGGAAAATGATATAAAATTATTCGCGTGAATATTTCAAAGCAAAAAATAACACAGGTTTGGTTTTTTTTCTTTTTTTTTTTTAGAGATATAGCTAATTATTTTTACAATATATCTTGAAACTCGGCGGCTATTACTGATCATTTTATCTTCAAAAAACATTCGAAATGGAAACAGAAATGATTCGGAAAATGAGCACCGAATTTAGATACCGCTTAATGGAAACAGAAATATAAAATTCGACTCGCTCGTCTTTGGTGTGAAATATGAAGTGAAAAACTGTGTTTTCACACAGTTCGCGTCGCACTTTGCAGCTCGATTTTTGCCGCGTGTCATCATTTTACACTTTTTTTTTCATTATACGCGTTATTTTCCTGATTTTTCTGTAAACATGCGGAAGCGTGATTTTGCCCGAAGCTGGCTAAAGCGACGTTTTCGTTCGCTCAAAATAGCTCCACGATGAAATCAATCCGATCAATATAGGTCTCGTTCGCGGTTTACGTAATTCAAGCTAGGTCATTGACGGTTTATGACGTAGATCGGGTAAACCTGGTAATCTGAACTAGCATGAGCGATATTTAGGCAAATATACGTGTGCAACAGATTCAGAATATAAAAGTATATCTGTGTAAAATATTTATTCAGTTACAATATCAAACAACAGAAGCACATAAATTTTTTTTTTTTTAACTAAAAGAATTTATTTCGAATATTCCAAAAATTGTAACAAATGTGTGTGTAACGTGTACGCGAAAGATATATTGAATATAATATATATATATATATATATATATCTTTCGATTGTATCGCTCGTAGAGTAAAACGAACTTTATGGCACTTTAACCACTTGGAGATGCAAATGTGATCTCGCTCGCAGCGCGCGAAGGCAAACGAAAAATTCTCGCAACTCGAACGGAGGTACCTTTTATCGTTGTACGTGGGAAAACGCGTTACACTTCGATGCTGTCGGTGGTGTGAGCAACATGGAAATGGACGATGGTGTGTGCGCACCACAGCTCTTGGCCGAGAGACAGATTAACATTGTCGATACGTCGTCGACGTCAATCAGTGTCTGTGACACGACACGCGTTTGTCGTATATCAGTTAGAGTGAGTTGCCGTTGTGCGACGGACGCCACACAAATTATTCCTACAAGATGTTTCTTATAAGATGTAAGAGAAATAATATACGTGAGATTAATAAACAAATTCTTATCGAGAGATAATAACGAGCGGAGGTTTTTTACTTCAGTATTTTGCAAAAATATATTTTAACAATATTTTACAATATTTTAACAACATGCTGTGTTTGTTAAAATTAAAATTATAATTTTTTACGTACGTTTGGAAATTAATTAACTTATTAATTTGAGTAAATTATATTTTATATGTATATTTAAATTAATTAATTGAAGTATAATTAAATAACTTTACATGTTTACAAGTATAAACATTATTATGTGAATACACATGTGTGTGTGTGTGTAATATAATGTAATGGGCATAATTTCGACGAAGAAGTACGTAATCCAACGTGATAAGACCAAGAGAGCGTCTTGCGAGCTTGTTAGAAAGCTCTTTACCTCCATTATTCTCCTCATCCATCTTTTGTTCTCTCTTCCGCAGTGGTCCTCTTCTTCCGCTCTCTTTTGAGTTAATAATGACGAATATAATCCACATTAGACAGTTCCGAAGTTGAGCTCAAGCTCAACCATCATTATCAACGAGATATTTGTTAAAAACCACTTGTTTTTACGAATTTTTTTTACATAATTTGAAACACTTTCTTCACCACGCGTCAACGTCTTTCCGATAAATGTGTTTACTTTGATTTTGACATATTAACCTTTTCGCTCCGGGGATTTTTCCTTTAAAATTGACCTCGCATTTTAGCTGAAAAAGTTAATAATAACCTGCTACCCCCNCAAAGTTAATTTTGAAGGTCAAAGAAGTAACCAGGATTTTTTTCAATTTTTTTCCTAAATTTAGTGCATTAAATTGACCTTATAAACATCTATTACGTTCGCTTTTCTTGCTGGTCCATATATGGACCAGTCCCGGAGCGAAAAGGTTAAGTAATAAAGTAAAATCGGAAGGAATATTACGTCAACATTTTTTTTTAACATTTTGTTTTACCGCACAAAGTGACCTGACGATTAAAATGAGTCTCTACATTTCGTATTATCTCCTCGCAGATGAAAGACAATTTTATCTTTAACGAGAGAATATTTCTTGTATTCGCAAAATGACACAACACAAAGCTGCGATAAATCTTCTAAATGGGAGAAGAAACCGACATAAAGAATGAAAGGCAGACGCTTTTGCGCGAAACGGAAGTAGGTAGATCGATTCATTGGTCTAAGATGATACTTAATCGATTATCGAAATAATGAACGCGACATGAAGAGAGCCCGTCATGTTGCATTCACTGCTATAGAGGGAAAAGACTGAGCGCGCGCGCGGGCTATTAATACGGTTATACATGCTCTTTCTTTCTGTTCTGCAGAGAAACCGGTTGTCTGATGAATGAACGCGAGATGGACGTCTGAATCAAAGCCGTCATGGCCCCGTTTCTATTGATCCTGCCGCTGCTTGCATCATTGCGCCACCTGATACATCCGATCGGTAAGTGAGGCTCTTCTTCAATGTCCGTTTCTCGCGCCGGGAAAATGTGAGCGGGGGAACGAAGCAAGGAAAAAAGCGGAGCTACAATTTCTGATGGTCGCGTGTTGCGCGTCTCGAATCTCTACACGTTATCGGAAACTTTTTCTCTTCGCGCTTGTTCGGTCGACTTGATTCGATAATCAATTGACACGTTAAACAAATTGCTGATACCGTGATTAACGATACGTTCGTGCGGCGTCGCTCGAGCTGCTAATAGGATCGAGACACGGTGAATGCTACATTTATAAAACTTGCAAATGCGTGATGCATGCGCTTCGCATTTAATGTCTCGCAAATGGTCGCGATATAAATTTCTTCCACCAATAATATCGGATATTAAATTTATTACATTTCACAATGAACAGGAATTAGGTGAGACACGCTCTGTGTATATGTGTGTGTGTGTGTGTGTGTGTGTGTTCGTGCGTATTATTACGGTATGTAATTTCAGTACTTATTACTATAGGTTTAATGATCCTCGCGTATTTAATGAACGTGACTGATATCAAACGACCGTAGATAAGCATCGATATACTTCCCATAACAGATTCAGACAGCTCCTCCGTATTCGTGAAAGTCAAACGGAACTCGGTTGTTTCCTATCTGGGATTTATGGTCCTCGTGCGCTAACGAGTTCCCTTCTTCCTCTCTTGCGTGATCGTCTTGATAACGTTTAATAGCTATGACAAGAAGCGAGGACAAGGAAGGAGAGACGAGAATAAAACAGAAAAAAAGGGAAACGAATCGACGCGACATGTCATTCGTCTTATCTCAATTCTTTATTGCTGTCTGAAACACACAATCCGACCCACATGTGTCGCAAAGATAAAGTTTTACTACAAACAAAAATAGAAAATACGCAAAAAAAAACATAATACACAAAAATCACGAAAGAAAGAACTTGGAAATTACGCGTCACTTTTATTATTCGTTACGTGTCTCACTGATCGCGCGCGGATAATAATAAAAGAAGAAAACTATAATTAAAAAAAAGAATGTGATAAAAGAGAGTTATCAAAGATAGTCGCTCATCTTGAGGAAAGACCAGGGGCTACGAGCAACTTTCTCAATTAGTGCTCAGCACCCGATCGGCTCGTTTGCATTCACGACGAGATGGGGAAGGCGGGTCATTTCTCTGCGTGGTCTTCCTCTTTCCCTGGATAAAGTGACAGTCATGTCCTGATTTGCTCAACTCCGAAAACCGTTTCAGATAAAATTAACATAAAACTATTTTCTGAATTGCAAGCACTTGAAAAGCGGAAAAATATTTTTTGTCGGAATTATACAAGAAATCTGCGAAAAGCTATTTTTCCCGTGAAATTCACACACACACGCACACGCACACACACACTTAATGTAATGTAGTTCTAAAATTAATTTGAATCAAAATACATATATATGTGTCAGAGCTGGCTGAAGTGATATTTGCTTCGTTTATCCCTGAAAATTTTTGCGTTATCTCTCTGTGCGTCCTGCAGTCAAATCCGACGGAATATGAAGTAAAAATTTCGGAAATACAACTGGTGGAATTGTTACGCTTTATCGGTGAACGTCAGAGTTCCGTTTATTTTATTATTATTTCTTTTAGATAACTCGGCATGAGAGTTTTACCGAGCGCGAATTTTGAATAGCGACTCATCAGCTATATATATATACCACGTTAAATGTGTAGGTATATAATCATAACTGTTTCCGCTTACGGTAACGCGAATTTATCGCGTCGCGCGCGAATCTAGGACAAACTTTAGCGCGCGTTTTCGAGAGAACAACCGTGTATTCGAAAACCGCAACAAAAACAAACGCATTTAACTGCAGGACTCCGATAGTTAATTCACGGTACGTAAATCTTAACGCTCGGTTTGTAAGACAGAGACGCATATCTTGGAACATACCGACGTCGTTTGTTTGTCCGACTTGAAACGAAATGCTCTTAGGGCGAAGCAATTCACTGCAAACGTGCTCGCCGTTTAATAACGTAAATATTTCGACGCAATGACAAAACATTTGTGCACAAATTCTTCACTTAAAATTTTTATTATCTTAAATATTTCGCCGTGTTCGGTGAAACGAACAAACATTCTTAGACAAGTTACTCGCGTTTTTCGTCAAAAGACAACAAATATTTCGCACCTCTCGTCGAAGATTTCGTCAAAGAACGAAGAAATCCTAGCGATGTATCCAGGTGTTTCGAAGCAAATCGATCGTCGATATCACACCAAAGAGGCTTTGGTTCGGGATGAGCGTAGAGATCGTTGAAGAATCCCAACAGGATATAGTCGGACCTTGGATTCTTACCATATAATAATGCATGACGTCGGGGAGAGAGATACGAGAAGAGCTAACGCAACTTATTGCATCCGCAGATGCGATCCCAGGCGCGGGAACAAGAGCGATGCGGTAGAACTGCAAAATTCCGGCGGAACGTGCCGCCTCATTTCAGACGTCGACATCTAAATCGCAACCGCTCCATGTGCACGCTTATTCCCTAGGAACATCTATTCTTTAGTAGGTCAATCCTCTTCGTCTAGCGGATTTTGTTCCGTTACAATTTCACATTGCACGGTTTTATTACTTACAGAAGAAGAATGTGAAATCCTCCTCGAGCAAAAATGATTATTATCTCTTCCGCATTATTGTATTATTTTAGTTATAATTGAACCGTCCGTGTAACATATTTCTAGCGGTCATTGTCCAAATGAAGAAATGAATTTCGATTTTATGTGAAGATACACATATTTATTGTTCTTTTTCTTTTCAGAATTTCTTTTTTAAAAGGTCTTTTTCAGACTTTTTTCAGAAAGTCAAACAAGTAAATACGTTTCGCGTTTTTTTGCGCTATTCTTACTGCTCGACTAAATAGATTTCAATATTCTTACAAATAGTTGAGTTACTTTGCGCCTGATGAAAGCGTTGCGTTGTTGAGAAAAGAGAATTAGAGAAAAACATAAAAAGAGTATCTCTTCTTACGGGATAAAAAAGAAAACGGACGCTAGTAAGAGAGAGCAAACCGCTTATTTGATCACAGCGCAAGTGATAATGACGAATAAACACGGTTGGTTTACACTCTTACGAGATTGTAAATAATTGTAATTGTTCGAACCGCAAAACTGTGTGTGCTAGAGTTTAATAAATATCTTATAAGTTTAATAAATATCTTCTGTATTTGTTGGAAATTATTTAACGCGCGCTAGAAATATTTATCTTAATTGTTTAAAAACCGAAGTGAATTTGCGCCGTCAATTAGATTAGCAAATCGTCTCTAAGTAACTGCCACCGCGTCAAGCAATGCGCTTTTTGTGCGTACAAACTTGTAGAAGTTAATTACCGCGAAGCACGTAGTGGTTTCTTTCTGGCAAATAGCTATAGTTGATAATAGAACTTTTGGCGACCGGGGGAACAAAACCGCGACAGGAACATTTTAGTCGCTCGAAAAAGCTGTGACGTATAAATTAACTGAACTTTAACTAACGATACTTTTACTGATAATACTGTGATCTTTTATAATTATAATAAGATTGTCTTTTCTCTGAAGAACTCGAGTAACATACTATTGTTTCTATTCTATCACTGTTTTTGCAAACGTTAATATAACTTATTGAATAGTGCAACTCTCTCTCATGTGTAAATAAATTTACTTTTAAAAATTAATATTTTATTTCGACATGTATTTTAGAAGTAATCGATAAGAGATTTTATTTATTTTTTTTTTTTTTTTACCTCTTATTACTTTTAATATCCGCTAAACTCTTGATAGCTTAGTAATTGTATTTTACTAATTACAGCATAATTGCTGCAGTAATCGGGTTCGATTATCGTTTTAATTTGACCACGTTTTTTTGCCAACGGCGTTCCACTTTTGAATTTTAGAAAATTCAGTCATCGTCAATCATAAATTTGTTACTCTCTTCAGCGACGACGTTCATCCCGGTAAATTGTCCACTCGTCCCCGAAAACTTTTCAACGCGTCTTTAACAAAGTTCGCTTTCGAAGCGATCCACTCGAAACATCCATAAAGTACTTACTATGTTGCTATTTGCATATCACGGAGATAGAGTACGTAGAGCGCGGCACTAACTAGCCAACTTTTATGCTAATCGAATTCAAGCATAATAAATATCGAGAATAAAAATACAAAAAATTTGAAAGGCTCAAATACCTTTATATAAATTTTCATATTATTTACGTTTTTTCTTTTTAATAATCAAACGATTTTATTACAATTATAATAATGGCAGTTTTTTTAATAATGTTAGTAGAACTCGACTTTATGCAGACATAGTGCGGCAGCCTTAGAGTTTTTTATCTCGATCGAAGTATTCTAATTTAAAACTCATGCACAAACATTATTATCATACGCGCCGATAGATTCTCAAATATTACATTAATGTCGTTCGAACGCTTACAATCTCTTGTGTGCATACACTGACCGAGATTATCGATAGTTTGCGCATACAAAATGCACGAACAGTCAGCGGTTTCTTCTGATCGTAGAATACTTGTCAAATGCGAAATCGACATCTCTCGAAATAAAATTTCAAGCACTTTCACAACATTTGAATAATAATTTGACAAGAAAAATTCAAAATAATAATATATAAAAAGATTATAAAAATATATAGAATAATATGTAGAAGATTTAAAATGTTTGAATAACAAGTTTTTTTTTTAAAGTTTCTACATCCTTCTACGCATATTGATATTTAAGTTCAAACATTTGGATTCGAATGTTATTTGGAAATTAAATATAATAGTATCGATCTCAATTACACTGACGCGCAAATAACGTACGTGCTTTACCAGCGGAACAGACATGCGATCTGTTTGCGAGCCCTAGCAAAACGTCCGGGAATTTAATATCTCCCTAATTGCGAATATATTGTAAGAGAACGAGGGAACGGTAAGAGAGAAGCGATATCGAATCCCGCTATCGCAACTTTTTAATCGTGGCGCAATTTAAAATG